TAGGATTAATCCTGCTGGCCACCCTTCAAATAAATTCCGCAGCCAAGTCCTCTTCTGTTTCTCTGGAGAAGCCAAATCTGGACCATCAGCCCCGTCAGTGAGAAGGTGCTGAGCCCGAGGCCCGAGCCCCTACCCGCCACATACATAGATCTGTTTCTGTCATGGGCTTGGTTCAATGCAAAGCATTCGTGCAAAGCAATCGCTGAAGAGCTTAAAACATTTCTCCTCTTTCTCGTCTCCGCTGACCCCTGTATGTCCAGGGGGCCCCTGAGTCCCTCTGGAGATGTTTGGAGCTATTTATAAACGTGACACAGGATGATGCCTGGCTTGGCAAGTGGATCACACAGAACTTGAAGTTTTGGGAGGAGGAAACAGATACCCCGGTCCGAATCTGGCCATGATGTCATTTACCTTCTAGCTCGTGGTGGCCCGCTGCCCGGGAAACGCCACCTGATCCCTTGAGGGATCCAGGGCTCCATGGGAAAGTTCAGTCCCTGAGGACCCCAGCTGGTCGGTTTGGAAATGTCTGGACCTATAACACGCACGAGGGTTGGAGAAGACGCTAGCACTCGGTTTTCTTTGTCGAGTGATGCCCCCAGAGAAGCGCTCGTGTATTATAATGAAAACCAGAGTTTCTCTTTGCCTCACCCTCCTCTGCATTGTCCTTTTAGGCAAAAGCACAATCCAGGGCAGAGCAAGATGCTTTATGAGTTTCAGACTTCAGACCCAGGTAGTCTATAACTGCATTCTAAAGATGCCCCCGGATATAATTTGGAACCCTTTGTGGTGATTTAAAATTTTTGAAATGTTTATTTATTTTTGAGAGAGAGAGAAAGAGAGAGAGAGAGAGAGCGCTAGCCGGGGGGGGGGGCAGAGAGAGAGGGGACAGAGGGTCCCATGTGGGTTCTGCACTGACAACACAGAGCCTGACATGGGGCTCGGACTCACGAAATGGGAGATCATGGCCTGAGCCAAAGTCGAACGCTCAATCGACTGAGCACCCCTGGAACCCTTTTTGGTGATTTTAAAAGAATCACAGATGATACCTTAGATCTAGATAATAGGAATATTAAACAAGATTGGAACCAGGCTGGCATGTCATTTAAAAAAAAATTTTTTTTTAATGTTTATTCATTTTTGAGAGACAGAGCATGAGTAGGGGAGGGGCAGAGAGAGAGGGAGACACAGAATCCGGAGCAGGCTCCAGGCTCCGAGCCGTCAGCACAGAGCCCGACGCGGGGCTCGAACCCATGAACCGTGAGATCATGAGCTGAGCCGAAGCCGGACGCTCAACCAACTGAGCCACCCAGGCGCCCCTCATTTTTTTTTTTAAAGGAAAATATAGTAGATCCCGAGAAACTGTAGGTCTGTGTGACATTGCTTTCCAGAAAACTCCTGAGATTCATCGTTGAATATATGATTTCGACTATGAGGAAAAGCAAAAGGAGATTTCTGGGAGTCTGCACTCGTTCAGAAAGAGCAGGTAAGTCATGCCAAAGTGATGCTATTGCTTGTTCAGATTGTGGTGCTCAGTCAATACCTCCGAGGGATCCCGCAAGGGCGTTTGGTCTGTTTCATATGGCATCCGACATAAAACCCTATGCATGAAATGGAGAAATGTGGGTTGGGTAGTGACACGCTTGGACAGGTGAGAGATGGGTTGCTTGAACAATGATGTTTGGAAACTGCATTGATATCGTAGAGGGTGGAGTATTCTGTTCTAGCTTCTCAATGTTTGGAAATGGAAAACCTGCTTGCTAAATTCGTAGGCACTTCGAAAGTGACAGGGCAACTAGTCGGCAGACAACCAAACTTGACATCCAAGCTTGACAGCCTGAAATGGCGGGCTCAGATCAATGCCTGGTGGGCATCAATGCCAACCAGGATGAATGCCAAGGTTGGATTTAGATTTTTAAATGCGAGAGAAACACGTTGGCAATTCATGAGAAGAATCACTGGGGAGTTAAATAGAACACATTGCGGCGTGATTAAAAGAGATACACAATCCCGCACCACCTTCCTGAAGCATCCGTGTCAAGATCATGTTCAAGCCATAGTACATGAAAATCAGTTTTCACCTAGTTTCTGTTAGTCCGCATCTCAGTTCAAGTCTGGGCTCTGCATTTTAAGATCGGGAACAGTGATGAATTCTGGAACGTTGAGCTGGGTGACCAGAATAAGGAGGCGTGTGGAATGCCATACCAAGGAGAGTGAAGGAAACTTGTTTTAGAGTTTATTTATTATTTTGAGAGAGAGAGAGCATGAGAGTGTGTGCTTGTGTGCACACAGGCTGGAGAGGGGCAGGGAGAGAGGGAAAGAGAGAACCCTAAGCAGGCTCCCCACCATCAGCCCAGAGCCCGACACAGGGCTCGAACTCATGAACCGTGAGATCATGATCCGCACTGAAGTCGGACGCTTAACTGACTGAGCCACCCAGGCTCCCCAACAAAGGAAACTTTTTCATTTTTAAAACATGTGTTTTAGTTTTTTACTGCAGAAGAACAAACCCGTGTTATAAAAATTGGGAAAAGTAAGGAGCAGTGGAGAAGAGACACTCGTCTTCTCCCCAGGGAAGAGTTGCTTTTATACTGGAGAAGGTGAGGCCTGTGGAGAGGGGGAGGGGGAGCAGGGTGGAGGGAGGGGGACACTTGGTTGAGAGTCAGGGCTTGGCCTCTGAGGTTCCGTTTCCTCCTTATCCAAGTGAAGGGCTTGATTAGGTGACCCTTCAGGCCACTTCTAATGTCGTCAATGACTTACTGATAGGACGGGACTGTCTCCTAAACACCTGAAGGGCTGGGAGGTAATCCAAGATTGATCGACACACTTCCAGGTTCCCGAAGATAAAACTAGAATCAGAAGGACAGGTAAACTAAGAAAACTCGGGATAGTTTATTATTAATTAAACATTCATTAGGGGCGGCCTGGGTGGCTCAGTGGGTCAAGCGTCTGATTTCGGCTCAGGTCACCATCTCACAGTTTGGTTCCTGAGTTCGAGCCCCGCGTCGGGCTCTGTGGCTGACAGTGCAGAGCCTGCTGGGGCTTCTCCGTCTTCCTCTCTCTCTCTCTCTCTGCCCCTCCCCTGCTCGCTCCCTCACTCTCTTAAAAATACGCAAATAAACTTTAAAAAAAGTGATTTACTAAAAATACGCAAATAAACTTTAAAAAAAGTGATTTACGTTGAAATTGCTGTCACAGCTGCAGCCTTGGAAGGTAAGAACTCCCGAACGAAGTGCAGGGAGAGTGATGCATCGGACGGTCGTGCTTGGTCCCCGTTCTCATAGTCACGGGCTGCTGGGAAGGAAGCAGGGGGCCCTTCAGAGCTGTTCCCATAGCCCCTCCCGGCACTTCCCCAGCCACTAGTGGCCTGTGCCCCTTCAGGCTTTCACTGTCATCCCTGCCTTGACCCTGTGTCCTCGAAATGTTCGTCCAGCTCCGGTTTCTTCTCAAATGCCCCTCTTCAGAGAAGCCTTCCTCCCACTTTATATTTTCTCCCACACCAGGAATCCTTCTGTCAACTCGGCCACTTGTGGGTTCCCTTTGTCCGCGTGGAGGGCAGGCTTTGTTCATGTTGTAACATCTGTTCCTACACCGGTGCTGACCCCACATCGGAGGCTCGGGCCGTATTCATTTTTTGAGAGAGCGTGAGTGGGGGAGGGACGGAGAGAGAGAGAGACACAGAATCTGAAGCAGGCTCCAGGCTCTGAGCTGTCAGCACAGAGCCTGACGCGGGGCTCAAACTCACGATCATGACCTGAGCCCGAAGTCGGATGCTTACCTGATTGAGCCACCCAGGTGCCCCTCTTTGACCTTGGTTTCTGACACAGGGCTCTTACATCCCTTGGAATTTCTTGGATGATACATGTGTCTGTTCTTTTTTTTTTTTTTTTTTTTTTTTTAGAGAGAGAGCGCCTGGGGGAGAGGGGCAGAGAGAAAGAGACAAAGAGAGAGAGAATATCTCAAGCAGGCTCCGCACTCAGTGTGGAGCCCAATGGAGGGCTCAGTCCCACGACCCTGGAATCATGACCTGGGCCGAAATCAAGAGGAGGACGCTTCACTTACTGAGACACCCGGGTGCCCCTGGAGTGTCTGTTGTTCTAATGAGGTGACTCTGAGTGGGCTGCTGGAGAGCTTCAGGATGGAGGCTGGTGACCCGCAAGACCAATCTAAGACCACGATTAGAACCTTGCAACGTTCGGCCCTGCCTGCCATCCTCTGGGAAGGGGAGAAAGGCTGGAGGTTGAGTTAATCATCCGTCTTGCCTACATGAAAAAGTCTCTACAAAAATCCCAAACCTAGGGGGTTCGGAGAGTTTCTAGGTTGATAAACGCATCTATATGCCAGCAGAGGCACACTCCAGCTCCATGGGGACAGAAGATCCTGGACTCCAGACCCTTCTGGATATTGCCTTATGTGTCTGTTCACCTGGCTGCTCATTGATATCCTTTATCATACCCTTTGTAACAGACCATCAAATGTGAGTACGTGTCGCCCTGAGTTCTGTGAGCCATTCTATCCCGCAAATGATCAAATCCAAGGAGAGGGGTCACAGGAACCTCTGATTTGCAGCCAGGTGGCACAGAAGTTGTAGGTAACTTGGGGACAGGTGGTGACCTGCGACTGGCCTCTGAAGTGGGGGCCATTTACGGGACTGAGCCCTTAACCTGTGGGATCTGAGGCTGACTCCAGGTAGATAATATCAGAACTGAATTGTAGGACACCCAGCTGGCGTCACAGAATTGCTTGGTGTGTAAAAACCTATGCATGTTGGTGTCAGTAGAGTTCTGAGTGTGGTGGTCACGTGAGAGTGAAAGAGAAACACACAGGGCGTTTTTCTCCAACTGGTCCCCTCCCTTCTCCTTCTCCTTGTGACCTGGAAGCTGTGTGTTGGGATGGCCTTGGGGCGGCTGTGTCACAAGATGGGGAGATCCAGGGTCCCTGACTCACTGCTGGGAGGACAGCCCCCTCTTTGAGTGAGAAACAGGCTTCTATTGTTTTCGAATATGGAGATTTTGGAATCTGTCTGCTGTAGAAGCTGGCCTGACCAGGTAGGAAATGCTCACAGGAACTACTACCCTTCTGCAGATGAGATGAACGGTGAGTAAAAACTTTAGCAAATATTCTTGTTTTTCTAGAGGGCGAGGATTGATACCTAGGATTCCATCTAAAACAAAACCCTAGGGGTACCTGGGTGGCTCAATCGGTTGAGCATCCGACTTCAGCTCAGGTCATGATCTCGAGGTTCATGAGTTTGAGCCCCGCGTCGGGCTCTGTGCTGACAGCTCGGAGCCTGGAGCCTGCTTCGGATTCTGTGCCTCCCTTTCTCTCTGCCCCTCCCCCACCTGCCCTGCGACTCTCTCTCTCAAAATAAGTAAACATTAAAAAAATTTTTTTAAAGGAAACTATATTTCTATCTGTTTCACCCGTTTAAGCTCCCTTGGTCAGACTTTCTTTAGCAAAAGATTTCCATGTGTTTTCTTTAAGACGTAAAATGTCAAAGCTTCTAGCATTTACGGAGTGCTTGTGAAGCCCTCCGTGTACGTCTCACTGAATCCTCCACAACGTCTCTGTGACACGAGTGTTATCATTCCCATCTCTCAGGGTTTGGCAGCTTAGGCTCAGAGAGGCAGACGCCTCGCCCAGGGGCGCGCTGGGAGTAGGTGGGGAAGCTGGGTGTTCAGCCCAGCTCTGTCCAACTGCAGGGCCCTACATACTAACTGGTAAGCGACCTCACTGATCTAAATCAGTCTTCCACTAAACAACCGAATCCCCAGCAAGGGTTTTCTGTGGTCCACACCTAAGCAGCCGGTCACATTTCGGGCCCAATTCAATTTGTAAGAAAGTTCTTCTTCATCCGGGGATGAAAACTGCCTCCCAGGCCGCCAATAAATGCTTAATGAATCGAGCCACCACGGTTCTACACTAGAACCACTATATTATGTATGCATCTTTCCATTTTAAGAAGTCAAAGGATCTGTACGGGAAAAGGAAACAGCCCAAGAAGAGGTGCCCACCAGCCATCACTGACTGCAGAGAGAGGTGCTTATTATAAAGTCGTGTATTTCGACATCATGGCAAGGACGGAAGTGCAGTGCTGGCTACTGATGTCCCTGCAGTCCCCTTGTGCCGGACTTTCATTGCTGTTACAATTTTTAGGGGCGCCTGGGTGGCGCAGTCGGTTAAGCGTCCGACTTCAGCCAGGTCACGATCTCGCGGTCCGTGAGTTCGAGCCCCGCGTCGGGCTCTGGGCTGATGGCTCGGAGCCTGGAGCCTGTTTCCGATTCTGTGTCTCCCTCTCTCTCTGCCCCTCCCCCGTTCATGCTCTGTCTCTCTCTGTCCCAAAAATAAATAAACGTTGAAAAAAAATTATTTAAAAAATTTTAAAAAATGTTTACCCATTATTGAGAGCGAGCGAGAGAGAAACACGGAGTGTGAGTGGGGGAGGGGCAGAGAGGGAGACGGGATCTGGATCAGGCTGCAGGCTCTGAGCGGTCAGCACATAGCCCGACGCGGGGCTCGAACTCACGAACTGCGAGATCATGACTTGAGCTGAAGTCGGTCGCCCAACCGACCGAGCCACCCAGGCGCCCCTCATCGCTATTTTAATACCCTGTATCTCTAAATTATGTATCTGAAACGTCTTTATTGGGAATCATGAACAACAGTGCTCTCCTGGTTCATCTTTGGGGTTTATGTCAGGTAGGCTCTCCCAGAATATATATATATATATATATATATATATATATATACTCATTTAATGAGTAAAATGAAAGAGAAAATTCTGGTCCCAGCTCTGACAATAAGTGTATGATCTTGCGAAACTTATTTACCTTCACTAAATGACCTTATAAAAATTTTTTTAATGTTTATTTTTGAGAGGGGGGAGGGGCGGAGAGAGAGGGACACAGAATCCGAAGCAGGCTCCAGGCTCCGAGCTGTCAGCACAGAGCCCGACATGGGGCTTGAACCTGTGAACCAGGAGATCATGACCTGAGCCGAAGTCCGACACTTAACTGACTGAGCCACCTTCACTAAATGACCTTATAAACGTATTCTGGGTTTTAAAGACTAGAGGAATGTGGAGTAACCAATATTTAAGCAACGTCAGGAGATCCATGAAAGGAGATGTGTTGCATCTACTCCCACCCACTCCTGCCAACAGGGATTCAAATTTAACTTTGTAGCAATGATCAGAAGGTTCAAACACTTTTTCTCTACTATCTACACTTTTCCACCAAGAGTCCTTTGCTCCACTGTGTACTTGTGCTTATTAATCTCTAATATTGAGAAGGTAGCATGCCCAGTTCACAAGATCACAGTCGCTCTGGACACCAGCTCCAAGTTTGGGACGCCCCAGGTTTGATAATTCCTTAGAAGAACTCACAGAACTCACTGAAAGCCAATGGTTGCAATATAATGGCAAAAGGAAGCGTTGCGTGGGGCAGTCCGGGAAGGTTCCAGAAGCAGGGCTTCTGGTTGTTCCCTCCCCATGGTGTCACGGGCAGTGCTAACTGCTCCCAGCAATGATGGGTGACGTTATTTGTGGAATATTGCCAACCAAGGAAGTTCACCCACGCCTCAGTCTCTATGGGGGCTCCTTCGTCAGCTGTGTATGTAGCTGGTCTCAGTTTCCAGATCTTTTGGAAGTTGAGCTGATATTGCAGGACTTAAAAGCACCCCTCACAAATCACATTGTTAGACATTCTGGTAGGGTCCAAGACGCCCAAGCAAACAAAGACACTCAGCGGTCAGGACATTCCAAGAGCTTGGAGATTACCCACCAGGGGCTGAGAGCAAAGGCCAGGCCTCCTTCTGGGCCAGGTTAAGTCCTTACTATGCCTGTGGAAAAGTTTTCTTTTAGAGAAGTTTGTGAAGGCCAATGTTTACAAACTGTCTTGGCTTTTTTTTTTTTTAAGTTTATTTCTTTATTTTGAGGCGGATTGGGGCAGAGAGAGAGAGAGAGAGAGAGAGATTGAGAATCTCAAGCAGGCTCCTCACTGTCAGCTTGGCACCTGGCGTGGGGTTCGAACTCACAAACTGTGAGATCATGAGCTGAGCTGAAACTAAGAGTCAGACGCTTAACCCCCTGAGCCATCCAGGTGGCCCTAGAATATCTCGTTTCCTGTCTGAGACTCAACAGAGTCCACTGCATCATCAAAAAGCAAATGCATTTTGAACATCCACCATGGTGCTTGGAAAATCCTGAAAGTTTACCCTGCCATTCTGAGCCCTGTCTCATCTATCGGCAGACATGTTTACGTGCCCCAGCAGCCCAGGCTAGATGAGGCAATGGAGGTGTTATCGCCCCTTCACCACATAGGGCTGAAGCTTTAACCTGGCTTCTGACCAGCCATTTTCGTCATGGTTGCCAACTCCCAGGGTTCTGAAACGAAGGCATGACGAGATGTGCCGCGATGTCAGCAGCCACACAATCAGTAGTTGACTTGCAGTTCACTCAAGTCCCTTTCACATATGCGCTTTCTCCTCTCCAGGCTCAGAAAATGGGCAACTCTCTGACTCTCCTGAGTCACGTTTTTGGGCGATAAAGTTTAATCGGCTCTGAAAGTTGAGTGGACTTTGCCATCACAGTGGATCTCCAGAACCGGCCAAGTCTATGCTGTGGACTGAACCGTGTTCCCTCCAAATTCTTATGTTGAAGCCCTAACCCCCCCTGAGCCGACTCAGACAGTAGAATTCCCCCAAAGCGGTCAATGTGACTCTCTTACAAATTCAGAAAGAACGTGTTTCAGAGGTTCATTTAAACTCTCAGGGGAGAGATCTGCACGATGGTGAAGGCTGTTCTCTGTCAGGCTTTGAAAATGAGCAGCTTACGTGGGCTACGCTCATTGCCTCACGACTCACATACTATTTATTTATTTTTTAAGGTTATTTATTTATTTTGAGACAGAGAATCCCAAGCAGGCTCCACGCCGTCAGCTTGGAGCCTGACGTGGGGCTCGAACTCACAAACCGTGAGATCGTGATGTGAGCTGAAATCAAGAGTTCGACGCTTCACTGACTGAGCCACCCAGGCACCCCACACACTATTTATTAAAAAAAATATATATATATATATATTATTTAAGTATAGGTGACATACAATGTTATATTAGTTTCAGATGCACAAAAGTGACTTGACAATTCTAAGATTTGGCTTTTATCTCATCTCTTCATTGAAACTTCATTTCTGAAGCTCATTCAACTCTTGCCAGTCTGATTTTTTTTTTTTTTTTCCAGCCGTCACTATCCTAAGTTACTCGGCACACGGTCATCCTGGGCTGCTGCTTTCTGATAAAAAAGAGCTCCCGTCTCCTGGTTGCTTATTAAATGCACATGCAAATTCCATTACTTCACACACTGTAATTGTATCCAATCCTCACAAGACCTTGCTACCGCATCTATTTTGTGCCTAAGGACACTGAAGCACAAGGAGGTTAAGGTACTTGACCAAGGTCACATAGGGGCAAAGCCAAGATTCAAACTCAGGCAATCTGGCCCCAGTGCCCGGTACACTTACTCTCCGTACCACATTGTCCCCACCCTCTTTATTCTCTGCCTCAGGGTACCTGGCCAACTGCTCCTCAGCCAAATTCCTTTTGTCTTAATCATCCCTTCTAGTAACATGCACGTTAACTCTGGAGTTGGGGGCGTGCTTGGGTTCTAGTTTTATTGGCTACTTACTACCCACGTAATCTTGGTCAAGTTTTTTGTTTTATTAGGGCTAGTCCTCAGTTTTACCATCTCTAAAGTGGATGTAATAAGTCTATTTGACAGAGTTGTTTTGAGAATTAATTGCGATAATGTGAGCAGAAAGCCTGATATTAGTAGGCATTTGTTAGATACCTGAGCGTATAGTTTGCCTCACGAACACGAGATGGGGCTTCTTTCCCTGGGATCCATTAGCTGGCACGGGGACAGGATGACAGGCAGGCAAATGTCTTGTGTGTACATCTATTTTTTTCTGGGGAAAGAGCCTATAGCTTTATTTATATTCCCAGAAGAGTATGCGACCCCCACCCCCTCCAACTGGAAACCACTGAATGCTAGT